CCCCTTTTCGTGATTCTGGGGACAAACCTTGAATGGGCTTTGTGATTCTCAAGCTCGGTGATGAGGTTCTGCTTGGTAGGTTTTGTTCAGCCCTTTGTTACCAAATCTCAGGGAACAAGTGTTAGTGATTTTACTTGGAACATAGCTCAGCACACATGACCAATGTTCACCTCACTGTAACCAACGACCTGTTTTGTCAGTGTGAAAAAGACATGACCATTTTTCAGGTGCCAAAGGCAGTGAGGTGCCAAAGGCAGTGAGGTCATGCCAAATATTTTGTTTTGTTTGTTTTTAGTCAAGCTTATTTAATTTGGCATGATGTTTGAAAAGCCACAATTTCCTTTGCTCTATGCCCTCATAATAGTATGTACTTGTGTGTGTGTGTGTGTGTGTGTGTGTGTGTGTGTGTGCATGTGCATTTGGTGTGTATTGCAATCTTCAGAATTTTTTTGTCCAACCATCGGATCACAAACCCTGAACATTACTCCACTTCAGCACTTTGTGAAAGTGCCCTGCTCACAGGTAACAGGGCCACCTGCACAGAAAGAATATCATCTGTGGCGCTGGGGCCAGCCCTACTCTGAGACCTTGCTACCTTCATTAGGAGAAGGACCGCCCATCTGCACACTCTCACTCAAGACCCAATGACTCCTGCAGCTAGTGGCCAGAGCCTATGTTCTGGTCCTCTATGCATCAGCTTCTCATAAGCATGCTCAGAGCACCTTCAGTAAACTGCCAATACTGAGAAGGTTCTGAAATACTGAGCATGCTCCCTCATACTTACCCTTCAGGTCCGGATCCTGTGGATGAGGATGGTCATGTGGCAGGCAGTCTCCATCAGCCCTGGCCTTCGCAACTGGTAACCTAGGCAACCACCCACCCACACTCAATCCTGTCAGGAAAATCTCTTGCTCTCCTAGGTTATTGATTTTATCTGGCACAGCGGTTTCACCTCCGTCATCCCCTCCCTCCCAGAGTCCTCACAGGGCCTCAAGCTGAGTCACGACATTCAAGAAACACATATCCTCACCCTCTCCTGACAGGAAATCAGAATCGTGTAGTGAGGAAGAGTATATCTCTTTCCAAGGGGCCATGAGAGCTTGGCATGAGGCAGTCATAGAGGAAAATCACGTTGCACTGATGAAAGGTATTCGAATGGTGTCACTATGACAACAATCAAGTCCTGGAGTCCCTCTAGCACCAGCCTCTGAAAGGTGCTTGCAGTTTTGAGTGCAGCAGAGCCAAGGCGTTGAATAGTGCTCATGAAGATGCTGCCTGCTACCTTGAGAGTGTGGGGAACAAATGCTGGTCTTCCCATCCAGGAAACAGCCCACCGAACAGTGTGAGGCAGACAGAGACTTCAAAGGAGCACACTGTGGTTGGAGGCTTCACGACTGAGGAAGAGGGGTGGTAGAATTTGCAAGTGGGTAGATTCAAATAATTAAAATTGTACAGCTCAGGGCTGGATCCGTGTGGGCAGGTACATTGTCTGCCATAAGGGCATGAGGGTGTGACGTTGGATCCCCAGGGCTCATCAAAATCCAGGCCTGGCAGGGCACAGCCACAATCTTAGTGCTTCTAGGCAGAGAGAAGAGGTTTCCTGGGACTAGCTATCAAGCTGATCAAGACAAACTGGTGAGTTCCAGGAACAAGAGACATGTCTCAAAATCATGGTGGAGAGCAACAGAGGAACATACCCTGAGTGATTCTCAGACATCTACCCACACAGGCATGGGTTCCTATACACACACACACACACACACACACACACACACACACACACACACGCTCATACAGCACAAATACGATGGTGTAGCTCTACCCCTGGAGCGAGAGGAAGAAATGCAATTAAAGGAGGCAAAGTCAGTAGTCGTGGTCAAATGAGAGCATCGACAGCACTCAAATAACCAAGGACAAAACAAATGGGGCTATCTGGTCCCCACAGAAGACCACCCTGTGTGGGAACCAAAGAGCATCTGGGAGGGCTTTCGTGGCCACTCCTATGCCTGTGACAGAGTTCTTGGCCAAGCCCTCAGTGTTGGTATCCAGATGAATTAAGTTTTCCAGAGACTGGGGCAATGGGGCTGGAAGCTGAGCCTTGGCCATCTTACCAAAAGTTCTTGCATCCACCAGGACAAATAGTGTCACAGGGGATCCTGTTCTTGGTTGAGGTGCCTCACTTGAGTACACATGGAGGTGTAACTTAGCCACATGGTTCCATGGCCCTCCTCCTATTAGGACATCTCTCTTTGAAACTTTCCCATTTGTGTGCTCTGAAGAGGGAAAAGTAGCGATGCTGGAGACAGAAGGGAGATCAGAAAGACTACGAGATAGGGGAAGATGTTATAGGAGGAAAACAGGACACTTATTACAGAGAGGGACTGTTAAAAAACTAAGAAAAAGAGGCATGGCTTTTTCAATGGGAGAATGATTGCCAAGTAACCAGTCAAGCTAGAGTGTAATGGAATTTTAAGTCTTCACATAGTCAGTAGCATGGCTTAGACAATGAGTTACAAAACTCACAAACAATGGCCAGCTCCTCATTTGAACAAATAAGGTGTCTCCAGCATTAGAGTGGAGATCACTACACAGTTTCTGTACATTTCAGAATCTCTGACAAAAGCACTTGCTAACATTCCAGTACACATTAACAACAGGAGGCAGGTGCTCACAGAAGAAAACCAGTTTTCACAGTTGGAACAGGGGATTTCATGCTGTCTGGTACAATCACAGGACACTGTGGACTTGAAAAGAGCAAATCACTTCCATGTGGGGAAGTTGAAACACACATGTGCACCCTGACATGTCCCTCTTCTCAGACAGAGACAGAGGTGATGCCCTGTACAGAGAGACTAAGGGTCAAGGGCCATAAAAGAATAAGGATGACAAACAGCACAGAGAGTGACAGGTCTCACACATGTTCCCTCTGTTACTCAGTAAAGTGGCTCTGCTTCTCAGGGTCAAATGTCCAGGGACAGCGGTTATCCTGCCATAAGCCTTTACCCACATGGGTATCAAGGTATCCCATAATGGCTGGCAGGAAGGTCTTCACCAGCTTTCTCTGTCATTCAGAGGCTGTGCACTGGGCACTGCTCCAGAGCGATCATGATCATGATTTCAATTCAGTCCAGCGAGTAGCAAGATAAAATGAGCCTGGAGGTTAATAGCAGGTTCCCTTTAAGCATACATGGCATTCCTGTGTCTAGTACAGAGTGGCTGCTAGGCAGAAACCTGGAACAATGGCCAACTTCTCATTTGAATAAGCCCTGTCTTGTCTCCTCCCCAACCCCCTGTGGCCCTCAGGTAGGTAAAATGCTGTCCTTTTTATCAGTTCAACAAAGGATGCATTCTGCTGTTCCCGCTGCTCTCTTTGGATGATCAGTGTCTTTCACAGCTACAGAACACAGCACACACAAATCCCCAGTATTACCACTAATAAACCCATTTAGAGGACTTTCCACTGCTGGCCCTTGACCAGAAAGGGAAAATCTGAAGGCCAAATGCTCCCCTGTCCAGCTTCTAGTCAATAGTATGTGTATAGCCAGGCCATGGTTATATACAGTGTCATTACAGGAAATCATGGGACATTCACCAGTTACCACCAATTTCTGAGCTCAAACTGATGCCACCCAAAACTTCCTTCACTACAGTCCTTTCCCCCATGCAGACTGTCCATGCTGCCCCCAGCATGCATACCAGCAGACATACTTGAGCTTCTCATCTCTTTGCATCCTCGTCTGAATGAAACTATGGCTTTCCTGAACCGCTTGTGTGCCTTTATTTTATTGACCAGATTAAGAGCCCAAGGGAAGGAGTGGGAAGGGGGAAGGCACACAGTTCCAAACCCCCACGTCAAGGTCTGCTATGACCATTAACTGAGTGGACACATGGGAAATTCCACCAGGGAGCCACCATTAACCACCATGGTTAAGGAGGAAAACTTCTCTTCTTCCACATGGGTTCACACCACTGGATGAACACTGGGTAGGTAGTTACATTGGGTAGGTAGGTGCCTTAAGCCTGCATTCTCTTGCTTCAGTTTCTGGAAGATGCAAGTCAATCTCTCTCTCTCTCTCTCTCTCTCTCTCTCTCTCTCTCTCTCCCTCCCTCTCTTGCCTGGCACATGCATTTCATAGTACCTAGTGATTCCTAGTGGGGAATCACTCAATAAATGCACATTGAGAAGGCAAGTGGAAGACATATATACTATGTATGTCTTCTCTACATACACACATATACATAGATATACGTATATAAACATATATACACATGTTGTGTTGTTTCTATTTGACAAACTTGGGAAGGAGCAGTGCTGATTTCCTAGGAAAATCAGTGAAAACCCTCAGTGTGTGAATCACATCATGGGCATTCAGGGATCCCTGGTACCATACCCAAAAAGGCATGCTAAAAGACATAGGCAGCAACGTGGGGGCCTTTCCTAGGACAGTTCCCATCCTAGCACAAGTGCTGGGGCTCATCCAAAGGCAGCTGACTGCCTTGACGTCAGAAGAGTCCAGGCTCTTGAGCTTTAAGTGCAGCACTGTCTGAATCCGTTTTCGCCTCCATCTTTTGGGGGCCAAACAGACCTCAGCCTGCTCCCGCCCTCTACTTGAGCATCCTGACACTTTCCTGCTGCCTCTTTAGCTGGCACATCTCCTCTGGTTCCTGTTGCTGCAGAGGCCCCTCCGGGAGGGGGCCTGGTCTGTTGGCTCCCAGGCTGAGGGTGAGGCCACTGAATTCCTGCACCAGCATTTCCCAGGACGGAGGGTTGGGAACTGCGTTCCTCTCTCCACTCACCCCAGCACTATTAAGCATGTGGCCCTGGCAGAGGAGCTGATTCTGAGATCTGCCTTCTCCGACATCCCTTTCAAGCAGGTAAGGTGCCATGTGATCCCGGTGCCAGCGTCTCGAGTGCCTCAGGAAGACCTTCTTCCTCTGAGGAAAGCCCTGCTTCTCCCAGTACTGCTGCCACAGGGTCTTCTTCTCCCTGGCCTGCTGCTGGAGCAGCCTCTGTGACAGAGGGGCAGGGACACCTGAGCTGGGGCTGGGGCTGAGGCTCAGCCCACTGAGCCCCACACTTAGCTTTTCTGAGGAGGAAGGCTGAGGGAAGGCTGAGGCCTCTTGGGAGCTTGTCACAGTGGCCATGCAGGAAGGCACAGAATTCAACAGTGGATCCCATTTCTGCAGTGGATCCATGATGGGGTCTAGTCTGAGCCGGTCGCCACACTGAGCCCTGGTTCCAGGAGGAAACGTGAAGGTGATAGCGAGGAGGAATGTGTGCAACCAGGAAAATCCAGACTGTAACAAGAGGTGAGAAGAGAAAAAGAAAGCCCGTGATTATTCATCTCACTTTCTCTGTCCCTCATCTTCAAAGTGGGGCCACCTCCCAGGCGTCTTCCGAGGCTTACTCAAGATGATACATGTCCAGAGCGGTTAGCACAGGGCACGACACTCCGGCAGCATTTCCTGCATGGCAACTGGTATTCTTTCTCTTGCTTCAGCTCATGCAGAAGGTGTCATTTGGTGAATCCCAGTGATTCTCACCTCACTTCCCCCAACTCTCAAAGGCAGCTCTACTGTAATGAATGCACAGTGACAGCCATTCTTCCTAAGGGCATTTACATATATTCAAAGGGATGAATTTTATGGGCTCACAAGGATTTGTACCCTGGGAACTCACCCATCTCTGACTTTTCACACTAGTGATCATTGTCTTGCCATGCTGTCCTTGGACCTGCTCGATTGCCTTTGTGAAGTCTTCCATGACATGCCCTGAGATCATAACCAAACCTCCCTCTTTGTGATAAAAATGAAATGATTGTGCTGGTAAGAGACTCTGATTCTGAGGTGGCTCTTTTCTGTGTACCAACATGCAAGCTTAGGCAAATGCCTTAAAGTGAGCTGCCCCACCATTCATCATTGGACATACATCTCCCGATGTGGTACTCAGAGTGGACTACTGCTCACCAATTGGAGTATGGTCTTGCCTTTACCTCGTGTGTTCGTTGTTCTACTCAACAACTGGCCTGTGGTGACCACTGCTGAGCTCCATTTTGGCACTGTGCAATTCCAGGTTCTTTGTTCTTCTACTTGTGCCTGCAAATTGCTTCCCAGAAGCATGAGTGACAGTTCCAAAGTGCTGTGTTGCAAAAAGGAGTCCCCTCACCCATGGAAGAAGCAAGCAACATGGAACACAGGTAGTAAGACAAAGGGGAACCTAAGGATCTGGGCATGGAAGGCATGAGTGACAGAGGGTGGTGGCCACTCACAGCTGGGAACATTAGAGTCATACCTCTGCCTGCAGATAGCAGTAAGTTAGAGTGGACAAGCTGTGTCTGGAGTCACAGTGTGTCAGGCACTGTAGACCTCTACATCCCTGAAGCAGATATGCTCAGTCCAGAGAACTAACCATCCCATATTCCCCTTGTATAAAACTGACTTTAGTTGTATTTCTCACACTGTGCCTTGCATGCCAGAAAAGATGACAGGAATAACACAGATCACAGCTGTGCAACCGAGGGGTGAAAATTCCATGGACATGCCTGATGAAAGAGAGGCCGCTTAGAGGCAAGTTAGTAGCGGTCAGTCAAATCGCTTCCTGCTTCTGTGAGATGAGTGTTGAAAGACAGTCAGAGAATCATGGAGGCTGAGGCAGCCAGGAAGGCTCCCAAAAGTTTCTGGGGCATGAGGCAACACAAGAAGAAAAACGGTTTCCATGCTTGATAAACCTGTGTTGGTGGTGGTGGTGGGGTTTCAATGTAAGCTTGCTGTTGCATGGCAGTGAAGAAACTGCTTCCGAGCAGTAGATAGTAAATAATGACCCTTGGCAGCACTCCTACTTAGCTGTCATTCAGTCCTCCTGCCTCCTTAGGTGGAGATTGAGGAAATGCACACAAAGAGGGACATTAATCATAAAAGGAGGTGGGGAGAAAGAAAGTTAGCATGAGAGACTGTACGTTTGTGTATAAGAAAGAGGGAGAGAGGCAGAGTGAGAAGAGTCTGTCACTGTTCTTCAAAGTCATAAGCAAAGACACTACTGCTTCCTTTCACCTGCTCTGGACTTTGCTTTTCCATGCAGTCACAGAAGAAGGTCCCTGGCTGGCATGGCTGCACAGTCACTGTCCCTTCCACTTCCCTCTGCTCATCCAACTACACACAGTAGCCAGCATCACAGCATGTATAGCTTAATGATGGTACCTGGCAACTGTGGATCCTTAGCACAGTGGCTTCCTGGAATATGCCTTCCCTTTGATGATCAAGGTCCTCCCCTCATGTTATTCAGAATAGCTCACCCAACACATCCTTCTTCATTCCTGGAGCCAATGCTTCTGTAATGAAATCAAGTTACTC